CAGTTAAGATACTGAGTGTATAACTTGCAAAACCACTGAAGAAATACATGCTTTTAGTATGTTTAATATAAAGATTTCTTTGATTTGAAAATTTATTTTAGGGATAATGTGGACCTTTTCTTAAGGAAGTAACTCAGATATATAAACAAATAAAAATCAAGGACCCTGATTTAAATAAAAATTTTATTTGTAACTTGATATTTAAGTTGGGATAAAATGGGTGACATCAATTGCTTTGAGATAAATCATTCTGTCTGAGTTCTAGGATGCTACCATACTTTTGATATAGTATAAGTAATAAACTGTTAGTGTAGGTTCTGATAAAAGCCTTCAGGTCTGTTTCAGGGTACATTTGGATCTGAGAGTCAGGATGTCTCAGGGCCAGAGGCAAGCAAATTCTCTTAAAACTGTTAGAATACTTTCTTCCATCTCAGGATCATTCTTCAGTCAGGGGCCTTTAGGTCCCCAACACAAGAACCTAAAAAGAACAGAGGATAGCTACCTGTCCTCCATCTTGTTGTGTCATGTTAGTACTGAAAACTCGCTTTTACTAAGAGTTGCGCAGAACTTGAGTTGACCTTCTCAATCTTTATTCATTAGTCAACATTCAGTGCAGAATTTCACTCAGTTTCTTGGTGAAGATTGTCGTGTATGCACAGCTCATAAATTTGCATTACTTTTGAGTCATTTGTTTTTAACTGGATGAAATCTACTAGAAAACCATTTTTTCCTCACTGTGACCTATTTGTCTTGTAATCACACACAGTTTAAAATGAGAGCTGAAATATTCATTTGCCATTTAAATTATGCAAAATAATCTACAGGCTTCCATAAAATCTCATGAATCTGAGAGATGTTTTCAGTTACACGAAAGCAGATGAGTGAGGCTTTTTGTCCTGTAACAAAAAAAAAAAAAGGGGGGAAAAGGGAAAAAAGAAGGAACTGTTTTAAAAGTAGAGTGTTGAAGAACATTGGAAAAGTTTCACAAATATTCCCTTGCAAAAAAAGTTGTATAGGTACTTGAAGAATTTACGTTTACTTATCAGTAAATGTACATGCTTTAGACCTTTCTTTTGTATCACTGTATGTTCATGATACACCCAGGCACTGTTAGATAACACCAGCAGAGATAACAATTGTTAGTAGCATAGAGCTTTTTGAGCATAATACACAAGTCACATGTTTCCTGAATACAGAATAATAGAAGAAAAGGGGTAAAGGGGTAAAAATGAGTAAAACTGTCTGGTGTTTATATCCTCAGGACTTCCATCTGCTGTTGATTGCTTTTTCAAAGCTGAAGTTAAATTTGAACGTTAGAAAGGATAGCTACGCTTTGTTTTCTGGTCAGCTAAACAGATAATCAGAACCAAGCTCCACCTTTGTCAGCTCCAGCGTGTACATCATTCTTCCCCCAACATGTATGTATACACTGTGTTTCTGCTGAGAGAAATAAGCCTGACCCCCTCATAAAACAACGCTGTTAGGCCAGAGTCTTCCTCTCTGTCTGCCTCATCATTCAAGAGTACTTCACTCTGAATGCTTCACCACATCTTGAAAAATTTTACACTGAAAAATGATGAGGTGGTTCTGAGATAAAGTTTTCAGTAAAATTTCTCCCCACGTAAGGGAGATATCTTGACTGCATTTTCTTCAGATTTTACTATAAAAATTGAACAAAGGAGTACACCGTGAAAAACTTGTGTTTCAACTTCTGCAGAAAATGAGCATTGGAGTGATTCAGTAAAATCTTGAAGTTATCCAAGTATATCTATAGATGTTATAAAGCTATAAGATCTATTGAGCTGTATTCTATCTTGTTTTGGGTCTGGGTAAATTTTCTAATTTGATAGAGGTATACTGCATACCATGAAGCTCAGCAAGGTATTAATGGCTTTGAAGGTTTTGTGGTGGAAAAAAACGACATTCCTTGTAACCGTTTCTGATGTGATATATCAGATGTAGATTCTTCTAATTTTCCTACCTGCTTTTCCTTGTCTTCCTTGGGTCTGGAGGAGCTAAACATGAGTGAGAAAAGCCAGGTACATGAGTTCAAAATGAATGGAAAAAAAATTAGCAGGAAGCTTCAGCTGTTTTTCCAAAGCTGTGCTTGTTTGTTTCACTTGCAGTGAATCTCCTGACTTCACCAAATGCAGCAGTGCCAATGTGTAGTGAGCCCTGTCTGCAAGTACTGAGGCCGCAAGTTTTAGTAAGTCTATGCTACTTGTAAGGACAGCAGTTTGCTCTGCTGTCCTTGATATACATATGGAAAGACAAGAAGAGTGAAAAGAGGTGGGGTTGCCAGTGATTCATCATCTTGTGGCCTGAGTGAAGCAATATGCACAGCTGCTGTCTGCATGTATCATTAATTTTAGTCTGGAAAGCTTTTCTAGGCTGTAGTTTTAACTGAAGTAGTCTTGAAGAGAATCATCTATTTCTGCAGTTGTTCCAGCGGATGTTTCAGCATGCTCTTATGTTTCTAAGTACTGTCTTCTGACAATGTCCTACGCATGTCTCTTTTTTTTCATACTGGCTCCTTTCTTCTTTTTATGGGTGGTGAACTGAGCAAGTAAGAAAAGGAGTATTAATCTTTCTATATAAATTTGTCAGTTCTGAAATTGGAAATGCTCCTTCAGTGGAAGAGATTTTATTACCCTCGCTCAGGAACTGTGAAACCGAAAATAACAGCATTACATCAATTTCTATTTGACATCTGTGATAAAAGTTGTATTTTCATTTGGTTTGGAATGTTTGTTCCATGATTTTTCCCTTTGTTTCTTTCATGATCTGGAGGGCTTGTAGATTGAGCACATCTTTGTTCACCTTTGCTGAAAAACATGGTTCAGGTTTTGGCTATTGAGTTGGAGATCCTGGAGTAAAGGTAAAACAAGGCAAGACTGCTGTCTACCCTAACACTAAAGGAAAACTGTAACTTAGAGGTGTTTCTCCAACAGGCAGCTTGTTCAGAATTGAAGTGAAACAGCACTCTCCTGGACCTCTCTAGGTTTTGTTGGAGGCTTGTCACATAGCACATCCAGCCTGTTACAGCCTAATTAAGTCACTTCCCAAGAGGATATAATTACAAGCATGTGGTAAGTCATAGAAATGCTCACTGATATTGCAAACTAATTTCCATGCTCACTTCTAATTCCTTTCTTTTTTGAACTTAGGCAAATTTTATTTCTTGCACTGAATAATTACGTGGTTAGGATTTGTCTTAAAACTCTGAGGGGAAACAAGGGAGTGAATATCCCTGGAGCTCTTCTGAAGGCTTTCCTCTCCTCACCAACCTTGTAGTAGAGTAGAGGAAATAGCTGAATAATTACAGTGATATAACAAAATGCTACATATGAAATGTTGTTAAACTATGAGGACGAATTAGCTAAATAAAAAAGCATTACAGTTGTTTTCTAGTTAAAGACCTAAAGTTGATTGTGTTAACAAAAGTTGGTGCTTTGTATGCTGAGGATGGAGAGTGAAAGTGGAGGTAGTGGTGGAAACTGAAAAGTGTGCTTTCTCAATGGTGTTCACGTTCACTTCAAGGAACTGTTTATCCTGAACAGCAGAAGTCAAGAGTTGCATGCTCTGAGTTCTTCAGGAGGTAAATAGATTCAACTGAATAAGGAACACGTACTGCAACATATGTCACAGAAAAGAATAGAAAAAAATAATGAGATCAGGGCTGGTATATTTAGTTTCTGTAAGTGAGTTAATTGATTTTATGTAATGAATTAGCTATGTTGTATCTTTCACCTGTCCCATCAACTGATGATCTGCTCTAATCCTCTCCATCCCTGTGGAGCTCAAGTGGTGGGGGTTGATTTCCAAATTTTTCCCCATAATCATGAGGGCTATATTCTTCCTGTTTCTGCTAGGGGCTAAGTCTGTGATGTAATCACTCTGAGACTTGGAATAAAGTCATATGAATCTACTGGGTAATCGAAGATGAACACCGTTTTTGTGTTGACTTGACTTCTGCAAACTCCTTTGACTTCTGGAAAAGGCGAGGTGTAGTTTAAGGGGAGTTACACATTTAGAATGGAAGAGTTTTATCTAGATGCTTTTGAAGAGGTAAACAGCAAAATAATTGAAAATCTTCGTAAAAGGAATCACCCTGTCCTAAGCAGCAACTTCACTGCTATAATTAGCAAGAAGACCATTCCAACAATTCCCCACAACCTGCATATTTGGGCAGATTGGCTTTACGTAGGGATGTGTTTATCCGCATTTCAGCACAGTGTTAGGAATGGTGGGGTCAGATAGGGCTATGCCTGTTGACTGCCTCAGATACCTGCTCCAGCCTGTGCACAACTGAGTGCCCACAGCTGGAGCACTCCTTTTTTTATTATTTTTTTTTCATGGTAACCTCCAGTGTGTAGAGAAGGCTGGTATATTGGGGCCACCTAGCAGTCCAGCTCCCAGATGATGCTGACAGAGTTGGCAGGGCATGGCCAGGTGAGTGTGTACAAGGGCATCCAAACCTCTCTGTAGAGAGTTGTGTGTAAACCTTGGGAATACTGAGTTCCATCTGGAACCATGTGGATTATTAGGAGGCCACCAGATCACGCTGCTTATTAGAAATGCAACTGACACTGAATCATCCAGAAAGTGTTTTGAGAAAGTCTGAAGAGTGCTCAAAAATCTGAACACTTGCAATTATCCTCCTATACTGAGCACGCTTGGGTGTCAGGAGTTACAGCCTCACAAGTTGCAGGAGGTCAGCTAGAATTTAACTGTGGGGAAATTAAAAAAAAAGAAAAAAAAGAAAGAAAAAAAAAAAAAGGGATCTGTAAAAATCCAGAGCAAAGGCTGGAAAAAGTAAAAACAGTGTGAAAAGAAGATAACAGAAAATAATAGAGTGCTAGCAATCTTATCTAAAATACTGGAAACATTTCCAAGCTTGAAATTCGCTGCATTAACAGTTTTTCTTGTTAAGCTACATGAGAAACACTAAGAGCTTTGCAGACACTTGTAAAATGTCAGATTGCTTAAATGACACTTACCTGACTCTCCAGCCTTCTCCATGCTCCAGCAGAGTTTTGTGTTGGCTGTGCCATCCCCAGTCTCTTGGTCACTGCAACATCACTCAGTACAGAAGAACAGAAGCTGGATCAGGCAAGTACATTGTAGTACCTAGAAATGGAAAAAATATATATATTTAATGTTGCAATAAACCTCGAAGTGGCTCTCAGATGATCTGTCAAGAGCATTCCAACCAACCAGCTGAAATTTGAAAGGGATTTTCATAGAAACACCAGATGTGTCTTTTCAAAAGGATTACTTTTATCTAGAGACCAGATACCCGTCTTAGACTGTATCTCTGAACACTGCAATATAAGAGAGGAGAGTCAGTCTGGAACAGATGTATTGTCATCAGATAATTTTTTTATGACTTCTGATGAAAATTAGAACAGAAGTTGTAGCTAAGTTAGCTAATAGGAAAGTCATTAACATCAGCATAATTCTGTGGTTTGTAAAGGGCTAGAAGAGTTCCCCTAATTACATCAACAGTGCATGACACGTGTTTTTAATAGTTGCTTTTTATGTGTCAGCCCAGCTATGCAATTTTACTTGCGTTCTCCTCTACTTTACAAGGTAAATTAGAAAAGAATAAATGAGGCAAACCACACAGAATCAAGGTCAGGGCAGCAGCAATCCAGTGTGCCACTTCTTTTAAGCCGTGTTTTCATAGAAGGTATTATGGCAGCTAAACAGCTCATTCTCCTTTTTATTATCTCTTTATAGATGAAATGATGAAAACTTAGTAGCACATTTTCCTTCTCCTTTATAACGTTTTTTCTACATTCATTTTGAAGACTTGCAGGTGCTGGGTTTGGAGAAACAAGAAATTTCTTTTGTTAGAACAGTGAATTTTGTATTCACAGCAAGACTTTGAAGACATGCAGCAGAAAAATATGAACACACTTTGGTAGTGCAATTTATCTGAATATTAATATTTGTATTTTTTTATAAAAGCAGTGCAACATAATTTGCAAGAAAATAGATCTCCAAAGCTACTAATTTATTTACTGTTTTTCATATTGTACAGGTGGCCTGTGAAGTTACAATGTCTGGTTTTCATTTGTCTCATAAATGGACTTGGTTTCTTAGATTTAGGCCTGATTTAAGCTTCTCCAAGCTGGGAATTTACGGAACAGGCTGATGAGAAAGGCTCTTAAACTGCACTTGTTTAAACAGAGCAGTTGAGAGTCCACCTGAAGTACCTGTACAGTTATGTGTGCCACCTTGTGAAAAAAGTGGGAGTAATTGTCAGTTCACATAAACACAGGACAATGGCCTTGCTAGCATTAAGGAGATAAGGTGGGATATCACATCACTTTGTGCTGCAATTGCTCGATACAGGCTTGCAAGGAAAGATGAGCAGAGAAGACTAGAGGGTGCGTAGATGTAGTGCAAGAAACTCTGATGTACAGGGATTGTGAGGTCTGATGAAAGGAGGAATCAACATGAGGACATGACAGTGAGGGTCTGCTGAAGGATGCTTGATCATAGAAATGAATGAAGCTGTCTTTAAACAAATGGAAAATGTCTCCCATTTGCAGGCTGGATTAAGCTACCCAGCACCTGATGGAAAGTCAAGACGAATGGCTCAGAAAATCCATTATGTTTCTGAAGTGATGCTCCACGTGATACAGGCTGCATCTGAAGTACTAGGTACGGTTTTAGCCCCACCATACAAGAGAGATGCAAAACTGGAAAGTCTGGTCCTAAATTTTTTGGAGACTCTGAACACATAGGCTATGGGACTTTGGTTTGTGCAACATGGAGAAGAGAAGGCAAAGCAGATCCTTTTTTGGTTCTTTTTTCTACCGTATGGTTATAGAGAAGAGAGAGATAAACTGTTACCGGGGATGTACAGTAAAAGAACTGGAGAAAACGCTGGATATGAGGGAAAAAAATCACAGTGAGGGCAGTTACACAACAAAGGAGGCTTCTTAGAGAAATTGTGGAAGCTCCATCCTTAGAAATGTTCAAAAATTAGCCAAACCTGGGGCAATCTACACTAGTGTTGTCCCTGCTTTAGTTGTGAAGTTGGGAGAGCTGATCTTTAGATACCTCTTCCAATAGAAATTCTTCAATGAAATTAGGTGTTGGATTAAAAAATAATGTGGTAGAGGAGGGGAGCAAAGATATGAAATCATGCACAGATGTGTGATAGGATAAACATTTTTTTCTTAGGAAATTAAATTAAACTCTGATAATTTCAAATGTGTAGACTGGAGAAACAGTCCAATTTCTATTTATGTGGGTGCTATTACCTACAGTGTTGTTAAGGCCTTCTGTAGCTATGTTTCTAACAATGAAACTGTTTTGGTCACTTTCAGCTTAAGATGAAATTGTTAGATCTGAAATTTCCTATACTGAAAGTCTTATCAAACATAATTCAGTCATTTCCAAAAACAAATGAGCAAATAAAAGAACTAGAGAAAATGTTTATAACCATTTAATTAATGGCTTTTTAGTGATGTATTCAATTTGGCAGCCTAAAAAATCTGCACAAAGTTTGCAAAGTCAGAAGTGGCTAGTTCACGTAATTACAGAAGAGATTTCTTGGCAATGATTTTTTGGTCTCCAGCAGTCTCTTCATAATGAACATACTCCATCTCAGATCTTCAGAAGCAAGCAGAACTTAAGGTATCAAAAAAGGCTTCCAGCAGGAACGATGTGGTGAAAGCCAAGGGAACAGAAATCAGTGATGCTGTTTGCAACACAAGAGAGGAATTTGAGTAATGTGGCTGAATGAAGGGCATGCATAAGAGAGAGTGGAGGTGAAAGGAAGAAGGAAACCTTTGTTGTAAGAGAATTGGGAGGATTTAATGGTCACTGAAGTATATTCTTCTCCAGAAATAGAAACTGAACCCTACTCTCCTTACCTTCCTGTCAATTCATAACTTGAAAAAATTACCGAATTTTTAATAATAGTATGGTGTAATAATTTCCTTTTTCTCACACAGGATTTCTGACCAGAATGGATTATGTATGCTGAATAGGCCAATCTTGTGAAAGAGACTGTATCAGTGTCTTCATCTGAAAAAAAGGAAGGATACAAAAAGAAGCAGAAGATAACAGAAAGAAAAATGTAAGTTCAGTGACAAGAGCAGTTGAGTTTAGCAGCTCTGAGAAACAATCTCAACCTTTACTTCATCTTACCACCTCCATGTGACTTGAGCAAGTGACTTAACCCAGGTTTTTTTGCGTGTCTGCTTTTAGGATAACTTGCCTCATGCTCCCCAAGCATACGTTTCTAGTCCCTACAGTCAGCTCAGATGGAGGTTTCTCCAGTGCAGGTGGTTACGGTTTGGAGAAATAAGTGCTCTCCACAGATCTTAATTCAAAAAATAATTGAGTTATCACAGCAGCAACAGAACACACTGGGAGCTATATACGGGCATAGACAATCCTCAGGAATGCTTAACAATCTCTTAAAAAAATTCATCTCCAAGTATCACATACCAGACCCCAAATCATTAAATTCTTCAGATCTTTTTTCATTTATAAAATAAAATTCTCATTTCATTATCCTTCAGGGCTTTTGAGAAAATGAACTAATTCGTGTTCAAGAAGCAATTTGATACTGTACTGCTGAGTGCTATAAATGGAAGGCAAAAAAATAGAAGATAAAATTAATTATTCTACATTTACAACACATTGCAAGGAATGTGCAGCAGATCAGATATGGGGATGTGCAAAAGAAGATTATCTAATTTTTTTTATTTTATTTTTGTATATATATATATATATATATATATATATATATATATATAAATCTTACAGTACAATCTCATTTCTTGTGCCCATGTAACTAATTACTGTATTATAAAATACAGCGGATACTTAGGCTGTAGACTTCTTTACAATTAAATAAAAATGATACAAAATTAAATAAAATTAACGGAAGAAAGCTGTAAGCAGTCAGGCAACATGTAAAGACCAACCCATTTGGCTTTTGCCATCACCATTGTGTGGTGTTGGCAATTGCAACATCGAGTCAACTTGCGGAATCCTCAACCTGTCTTGAAAAGAGGTATCAGTGCAACCCCCAGCGGACCCTCAATGCCACCTTCTTTTTCATCCCCTCTGCTATATATTGGTAATCTGTGCTGCACATAGCAGTCCTAAGTACAGCTAATGTTAACTGTTGTATCAGAATTTATTCTGCTCTAGAAATGTGAAACACTATTTGATCCAATGACCCTTCCAAGAGTCAGCATAAATTAAAACTCTACCTAGCAACTACAGCCTTACCAAACTACACTAAGCAAGGAAACAAACCATACTTTCTGTTTTCCACTGCAGGCTACAGTAGATAAGCCTGCAGATTATTGTTATTCCCATTCCCACATTCTTAAAAGCATGTTACATGCACCCAGTTTAAACTGGTATGCAGGTGCCTGTTGTTTTAAAATGCTTTTAGAAGATCTAATGTAACATTCAAGCTGGGAATACATCATTCATAGAATCACTTAATCATCTGAGTTAGAAAAGACCTCCAAGATCAAGTCCAATCATCACCTTAACCTATTGAGTCCCATCACTAAACCTTGTCTATTAGTGCCATTAGTCCACATTTACTCACTTCCTGGGATGGGAGACTCCACCATTCACTGGAAAGCCCATTTCAATGCTTGTGCACTTTCTCTGTAAACAAATTCTTAACGTCCAATCTAAATATCTAAACAAGCACAACTTGTGACCACTTCCTTGTGTGCTCTCACTCATCACCTGAGAAAAGAGACTGGCGCCCTCCTTGATGCAGCTCTCCTTGTGGAGACCAATGAGATCTCCTCTCAGTCTCTTCTCTTGACCAAACAACCTCAGTTTCCTCAGCCATTCCTTGTAAGTTTTGTTTTCTAGCCCCTTCACCAGCTTTTTGCTCTTCTTTGCACACTCTCAAGGAATTCAACATCCTTCTTGCAGTGAGGGGACCAAAACTGAACGCAGAGTAAGGTCTCAGTTGTTGCATGTGCAAGGGAAAAATCATTTTCCCAATCCTGCTAGCCACTATATTTCTGATGCAGGTCAGGTGTCATTGGCTTTATTGGCCACCTGGGCACGCTGCTTGCTCATGTGTCATTTAACTAAAAAACAGATAGAAAACATCCATAGCCTTTGCCTTATCTACTAAGCAAGTAATCTTGTCATAGGAGATAAGTTCAATCAGGCATGACCTGACTTTCAAAGACTGGCTACTTCTGATAACATGGCTGTCCTGCGTGTGCCATGTGAGGGATGCAGATACCTATTTCTCTTGCAAGGAGTCTGACGGCAGTAACCAGCTGCAGCTTTCAGGATGTCAAGAGCATAGATTTCCATGTTCCTGCAATTCCTTCCCCTGATCCTGTTCTTATTTCCCCTTCTAGGAAGACAGCGACACTTAGTCACTTGCTAGAGGCACAAGCAGTCACTATTGGTGTAGGTGCTGTAATTCTTAACTAGCCAATGTAGCATCAAGAAAGGCAGCTGAGTTTGTGCCCAATTTTCCATCATTGTTGAGTACAAAATTGATAATATGCTAATAGTAGTTAACAGCATATTAACAGTTGAGTGAAATTTTGTCAGTGTTATTATTCCTGTACACAAAATGAATCTTCTACAGGATCATTTGTTAGCAAGATCATTATATCAAAAATAGCATTGTCATATTTTGTATCTGCACATATGGTTCTTGTGAGAGACAAGAATCTGACATTACAAATAACCTCAAGTCTTTGCCTTGGCATAGACAGCAAACTTCTCCACACCATCCTGAGCTGTTTTTTCAACTGTAGGGAAGAAAATTACTGAGCACTTCATGCTCACATGCTCACAGCCTTCTAGCAGGTATTACAGCCAGAGAAAGGTGCAGGAATTGACGTTCTGGCTAGCTATTCACCATACAGTAATCTTTCTACTCAAAAACAATTTGCATCCAATAAATATGTTTCATTTGAATTTTTATTCCCGAAAGGGCCTTTTTTTTAATTTAAAAAGGTGCTTTAAAGATGCAACAAATTCTAGTCATGGCTGTATTGGTCTAGCAACTTTGATATAAGATTTTTATCTGTCATAGAGTCTAACCTAATAGTCTAAAGGTATTTTCATAAAGCAGGCTTTCTAAAACAGTTCCACAGGGGGGCTAGGGGGATAATCAGAGGTGTTTTTTTAAAGAGTTTCTGAGCATTAGTGGCAGAGTTAATTGTTGAACTATTAAACTATAGGTTGCAATTCATAGTGGCTATAGTTACAACAGTTTGTGAGTGATCACCCTTTGCTACCATTAAAGACCTTTCTCATCTATTATAGCATGAAATACTGGAAGATGGTTTGTTACCTGCTGATAATAACCTACCAGCAAGGACAACAGTTTAATTATATACTAAACCTCCTGCTGGCAAATAAATGACTTCCAAATACTTCTGCTCTTCCCTTGTTTTTTCACACACACACACACACACAAAAAAAAAAAAAAAAAAAAAAAATAAGAAAAAAAAAAAGGAAAAAAAAAAAAGAGAAGAATCATTTTCTTAAATAACTAGCCTTATCTACCCATGAATCCTGATGGAGCTAAAGAATGTGAAGAAGTCCCAGCCCAGACCTCTCAGAAAGAATTGCAAGATTCTTAAAGGTGATGCTGGCCATGTGAGATCTCTGCTTACACCGAGATAATACAGACAGCTTAGATGACAATTATATCTTTTTGCAATGTTTCTTCCTTCAGATTCATTCTGAGCATGGGATCATAGCACCAGCTTTTGTAACAGCACTGGCTGAAGAAGAGCAGAAGGTACCTTACTGCTCAGGAACCTTTGAAATCAACAACTTAGTTGTTGAATCAAGAACTAAAGTTCACTGTTCAGCAAGTAAACAGTGAAAAAATAAGTTTGTTCTCGGATCAGTTGCATAGAATTGGAGGCCCCTTTTTCCATAATCTGTGCATTTGGGTACTGGGGACTTGCTGTATAATTTCATCTCTTTGAACTTCTGCTTAAAAGGCACCTTTGAGCAAATTTTCCCATGATCTGTTAGAAGTTCTTTCTACTTGAGTTTGGTCCTTGCAGAGAGAAGGGCATCAACTAGTTTGAAAATGTCAGCATTTATTCCCAGAGTCATCTGCTGTCCTAGCAAAATCTGTAGAATGGAAACTGGAAATCTGGGCTGTGTGAAAATAAAAAATAAAGATTTGGGAACTCCTTATAGAAAAATAAGTTACATATAAATAAGTGCTTCATATACATTTCTCAGACTGATAAATAGCAGATAACAAGTAACAAATGATAGGGACTTGTCCTCTTCATTTCTGAGCAATTTTCAAGCTTCAGAAACTCAGGGAAAGGCACTTCTGCAATTTAAAAGTGAGGCTAGTGAGTGACAAACACAAAAGGCAGCTTGCCATCCCAACTAGAGACTTTTTTGCCTGCTACCTCAGTTGTATACAACTCACTACAACTTCACATTGAGAGCCAAGAAGTATTTATAGACTTGTAATAACAGCTTGGATTTCCATTTTCAAGCAGTGTGTTTTACCGTGTCATGATGGCCTGTGCTGAAAAGATCATCTCTAGTAATGATTCATCTATGACAGTGATATTGAACAATTTTGTTAATGCATGGTATCTTTATAGGTAATAACGTCATAAAATAGCCAGATGTGCCTCATCACGAGTAGGAGACTCAGAATTCAGCATCTCCAAAAAAAATAATTCCAATTTGTCCTAAAAGATCTCATAGGTAAACTATTGTTTTTATTAAGACAGCAACCAAAAAATAGTTATCATGTACTAAAATACACTATTTGGGGATTCTGTGGCAAACTAAGACATACAACTGCTTAGAGCTAAAGTGTTAGAGTAAAAGCAATTGCTCTGCACCCTTTTTGTGTTTATCTGTGAAGTCTCTGCAAATTTTGCCCTCTGAAAAGAAAGTAAATAAATGACGCATTAGAAAAGCAGAAATATTTTAGCATGTACACACAGTGAATGGATATGATTGAGTTGTTTTTGTTATGCCTAAAACACTACACATTGATTCTAGAAAACTGGCAGCATATTTTGAGAATTCTTAGTGCATTATATGATGTAATTTAAATAATCTTCAAAAATACTGTCCTTCATTACGGGTTTAAAGGTGTACAGAAAAACATGATTGCGAAGGGTATTTACTGTCCTTGGGTTTAGCTTTTTTAGCTGGTGGTGTAGTGATGAATGAGGGGATACAGCAACAAGACCATATCATGTAGAAAAATAATATGGATTAAAAATGTGCTTATGTGAAGACTAACAATTTTATTTCATCAGTTGAGGTTGGGCTGCTGTCCTTTATTGATTCCTGAAAGCTCTGTCCTGTTTCCTGAAAGTGATACCCTGTGCTAGCCTCTCCCTGCAGAAATGATTTATTTTACATCATTTTTGACAGAATACAGGAGAACAGTTCCCACATATTTCTGCACCTTCATGTGCTGGCTGCATAAAGCTGAACTCTGAGCACAGAGAAAAGTATTTGTGAGAACTGTCAGCACCTGACAGTAGAAAGTTTGTATGAAATATATTACTGGCCACAGCCTGGAAGATGTTCATGCAAAGGCACGTAACAGCAAGCTGAAGAGAGATGGGACGTTTAATTCTTCAGAAAAAATCTAGCATATTATTCCTATTACCCAATAACTCCACATCAGTCTGTATCTCTGTTCTCTGCAATCCTTTTCTATTTTCAGTCAAAGTCTGAGATGCCTTAGAATGGAATTGCCAATAGTATTTTTTTCCCCAGGGAATTCAAACAAATTTAAAGGCAGTGGGATAGATAATGTTGGTGACCTTTATTGTTTGAATCTGCAAAGCTAAAATAATGATGACAGGCTATAAAGTTGGTTATATTCTTGAAGTTCAGAACAGTCCAATAGGCTCCAAAGGAAGGAATTCTATACTTTCATTTGCTTATACTACGTCGATCTATGTTTATATATATCATTCCAAGAGAAAATAACTGAGTGGTATCTTTCCATTTGTCTGTCTCATTTCAAATAAATTAGTATCTGTATGTGGAAATGAACACATTTATAATGGGCAAAGGAAATTCTGTGCTGTTGTCTATCTGGAAAGTACAGCAAAAAATAATGTAATAATGATAATCAGGAATTTCTCCTGCAATATCACACTGTTTTAAAGGAAAGCAGCACATACATACCTGCTGTATAAAGAAGAAATCAAAAATGCTGTGTACATACTCGGGAGAATTTCTGGCTTTTACAGAGATTATTTTGCAGGTCTTAAAAATACAGTCCTTCACAAGTTCCTCCCCTACGTGTCCTTTTTCTCCTTTCTTTGGATTTCATTATTCAGAAAGTGTTATTTGGACAGCAAATTCATGAATGCAATTGTTTAGTTGGCTTGTTAACCAGATAATACTCTTCCAGTACGCTGTTATCAGCTACTCTATCTCTGTAACACCATTTTCAGTAGGATTCCGCTTGACTGCAGTTTTCAGTTCTGTACATACATTTAATGTTCTTTCAAGAGCATGCATGAGGTTGGTAAATAATTTTTCTCCCAATCTTTCATTTCTCTCCGTGTTATGTTCACTGGTCTCACAGAGGTGTCTTTTTTTTTTTTTCCTCCTTATCTTTGCTTTGTGAGTTTGTTAATAAATGACAAATTTTCACTGACTAGCACCAATTTTCCATACTTTCTAATGCCTCTCCTACAGGAGAAATGTGAAAGAGGCACCAGGTTGGTGATTATATATACTTGAAGTATGTCTCTTTCATTTAGAAGTCTTAAAAGGCAACTAAAAAAAATAATAATAATTGAAGCTAAGCAGTATGAATTCCCTCATCCTTTTAATACAAGAAAGACATTTTGAAGAAAGCAAAAGTATGTTGAAGTTTGTAAAATACTTACAAGCCTCGGAAATCTATGTAGCAAGTTGATACGGAAACAAGGATTAAGTTTGCACTGGTGACAGCAGTCAGTGCTCCACCCCCTGCTCCATTCTGTTTTACTTTCAGTTACATAATAATTTAGGACTGCGTTTATGCATAATACAAAGTGGAAATTATTCTCACCACAGGGAGCAGATTTCACAACTCTATTTGTGAGCAATACTCAAACTGGGGGAAAAAACAAGAGCAACAACAGGGGGAGGCAAATATGTCTCAAATTTAGAAGGCAGGCAAGTATGAACAGCAGCTGCTTACTGTCTCAAGTAGCAACAGTTACATATGCTATCTCTTATTCCATGAAGGGTGGGAAGCACGTAGTTTGTGCCCTTGTACAGTCCTCTGCCTCTTTGTAGCTTAAGTGTATTCTCTCAGACAGAAGCTCCAGTGACTTTCTTAATTTGAAAGCTGTAGCTTTTTGCTGTAATTCCTCCTTTTCTTGAAGCAGACTCTGCAGGAGAAAGAGAAATTGCTTTTTGAGGCAACACCAATAAAGAAGAGCATGGCCGTGGAAGAGGGCTGGCAGAAAAGAACTGAAAGGGAACAGCATCTAGCGTGCCGTGGGATCACAGGGCAGGGAGGTATATTTGGCACAAGTGACATCAGAACAATAGCCTTCTAAAGTTGCTGGAAAAGTATTCTATGAATTGCACTGAGCTAGAAAATTGTGGATTTTTGTCATTAGGATAAGTGTGGGTTTAGCACCTATGATAACCAAAGGCACAGTAGCTGTAATCCTGCAGTCCTGCACAATCACCTCATGTTGAAAAGCCTTTCTTACAGTGAGTTAAACTTGCATTATGGTCCTGATAAGACCTGGTAGGGGTCACATACTCCATAGGCAAGAGTGAAAGTAGTACTTTCTATCCATGCAGTCCTCTTCCGCGTTGCTCTGGGTTCTGGTTATTACTCTGTGTATGCCACACTGTGAGGTGATAATAATACTCTACAGTTAAATGAGAAGGTTTTAGCAATGGACCTAGCAATTCTCCTAATTGAGCCAGAAATGCGCTTCTAGGGTTAGGTATTTCCTTTCTGTTTCTCAGTGAAATAGCTTTTTTTTTTTTTTTTTCCTTCCAGGAATGCTGTTTATAAAGCCATTTATTCATAAAAATACCAATTAATTTCTTGTGTTAGAATATTTTATTGCAGCCAAATTCAGAAAATATATGAAAGGATTTAAATGAGACTTCTATATCTTCAGCAGCCATCATAAATTAAAGAAGCTGGGACTAGAATTGTTTCTCATGGTTCTAGATGGCTGCATGGCAAAATCATTACATGAAGCAGCTTGTCACTTCTCAGTGCAAGTGCATATTATACCTGTGGTCCAACACTTGGGCCCAGCATTCCTTCTTCAAGGAAGGCACAAAAAAAAATGCAGCCACACTTATTAACTCCTGTACAGGAACTGAGTCAGAGACATTAGCCCTGAAAAAGCAACAACTTAGAATAATGTTACCCAAGCCACAAAAGCAGAACTCATGAATATGTGTTTCTAGGGACACTGACATGACAATGTATGGGTGTGATCACTGTACTGTGGTCCTTGTAGACTGTCTCACTAGGGAGAGTTAATATAATTTTATAAATTCATGTGCAGGCATGGGAGGTGAACTTTGCCCCCACTGGCAGCTGTTGGAAAACTAGGCAACATTAGAAAGAGAAAATAAAATTAAAAACACAACTGGAATTCTTGCTATGGCAAAGTGCAATAATGCAAACAAAAAGAAGACAGCATTGCAGGAAAAGCAGCAGCCTAGATGAATATTTAAACCAAAGGAACTTACCTATTAATTCATCAGGTGTGGATTTCTCAGTACAAGAGAGATTTGGACCTGTTGGAGTGTGTCCAGAAAAGAGCCACAGAAATGATCCAAAGAGCACGTTTCCTACAAAGACGGTCTGAAAAATTTGGGGCTTTACAGGCTGGAGATAGCACAAAAATGTGCTTCCTAAATATACAAGGGATGTTTTATAGTCGTCTAACTGCTAATATCTGTATCAAGGTGTTCATTTTTAACATATATAATTCTTATACTCTTTCAGGAGCAAAATATCCACTTCTAATTTATGCAAGTTTCATTTACTATTATTCTTTTATTATGCAAGTTTCCTTCACAGTGGACGTACGCTATTTGACAAGATATTGGTCATTACTCTTACCAAAGAGCTATTAAATTGTAATTTACTGTTATAAACACAGTGACAAAGAATGTGAATAACTCAAATCAGGTAAACTGTAAAGTCAAAACAGGTGTATGAGTATCATGTTGAAAATAAAATGGAATAACTGAAAATTCAAACATGACCTTCCTGATTTGAAGCAGTATCACCCAAACTTTTGGTGTGGCTTCACAAGAGGTGAAAAATAGTGCAGGTTTTGTTTAGTTCTACTCGTAAGTGTTTGCCTGTAATTTCATGAAATGAATTTGTTTGAAATTGGTGCTAGTTATGTTACTAGAGGAGAAAAAAATGGAGTCCAAAGTATTGCTACAGGAGCAAATAAGATGTAGGAAGAAAGGAAGACTCTTCCCAGCAATGAGGTCTGTGTGTCTTGAAAAAAAATGGCAGCTTTTGTGGAAGAACTTCTTTCCTGGAACCTGGAAAGTTCCCAGCTGACTCATCTCATTCCCAGCTTTCATTGCTATATTTCCAAATGCTTAAAGATGAGACTGTACCATTCTTTTCTTATACACTGTCTCATACTGACTTTTTTCAAAAGCCAGTCTGGAAGTTGAACCCTTCTGACCAGAAATATGAGCTGATAAGATGTTATAATTCAATAATCACAATGATTTTCATCAACTGAATTCCAAAATTTTTGGAGTCCTTATAACCAAATGTACATGTCGGTACAGAGGAAAGTATCTGCAGTTTGAATAGTGTCTCCTCCTGGTGTGCTTGATTTTATTCTGCAGAGCTGAACTGCTGCACTCTCTGTTATCAGTCTTATGAATTACTGCATAGGAGATTGAAAGTACTATTGTTTTCTTCCCCTAGGTGAAAGAGTGGATATATATAACTGATAGACGTGGACAACTTTATCTCCTCCCAGTTCCAGTGTGGCAGCCAGAGGATGTAACTCAGGAGGAAAAAACATTCAGCTTCTGGGGAGACATATCCTAGTCAGCTCACTGGCGCTCATCGTCACACCATACTAAGAGTTGGGGCATTTGAGCTAAGGTGAGTTTTGTTTCCAGTGACAGTAACAAAGTGCCTTACCCCTGAAAAAGAGAGGACAGAGGAGTCCCTTCCAACCCAAACCATTCTATGATTCATTCTAAGTGTGTGTGTGATGAGAGTGCATTTCTGTAAATTATAATCTATCCTGCAGCAGTTCTGTACCAGCACGTAAACCAATATGCAAGTCTGAAATAATTATGTGGTAGAGTAATTGCTAGTAACAGAACACGTAATATACTGAACAAATGACTGTGTATGTTTGCCTTCTTCAAAACCTGGGTATTTCTGCTTCATGGTTAGTAAAGCACTTTAGATGTCTCTTTTCATGTTATATTATAATATGTCCTAAATTATAGACTCTTCATACTACTTATTAAAAACTTCTTTCATCTCACAAATGCTATTTAATTTCTAGACACATGTGGAGAGACATTAATATTCTGTCTTTCAGAAGTGTGCATGGTATTTCTGGCAAGTTATAATTTATGAGCTATTGCCACTAACTGCAAGATATTCCCATTTAAAGAGATAGTGTTTCCAAGCAAAATCATATCAATTGCTAAGTTTTGCAAAACCAAAACAAAGGGAAAGGTATTTAAGGCTTTAAATTAGTAGGAATATGTTTCTGAATCTGCAAAAATCTATGAAAAAAGCTATCATAGAAAAATGCAGAGTAATCTTCAGTTCCTTCTCGGATTTATGTGAGGAATCTTTGATTTCAAGTGTTATGTTTAATGCCCTGCAAACAAGCCGGATTTTCCAGGATTAAGTTATTCCATAAATTTAATTATAAATTCAAAAATTCATACAGAACAATGTGTATAAATGTGGTTTGGCTAGCATCCCAAAAGGCACATCGCTGTAACAGTTCTCTGTAGTTACACTTGCGTTATTTCTCCTTTAGCAGTTTTGAATAGACCACAAAAATCTCCCAGCTCACTCTGCCTCTGTGGTCATAGAATCAATCATAGAATCATTAAGGTTGGAAAAACCACAAGATAATCAAGTCTAACAATAAACCCATCACCACCATGCCCACTAAACCACATCCTTATGAGCCACATCTACACGTTACTTGAACACTTCCAGGAACGGTGACCTCCACCACTCCACTGGGCAGCCTGTGCCAATGCCTTCCCACATCTGAGAAAATAGAGGCGAACTCCCACTTTATCACAACCTCTTTTCAGGCAGCTGTAGAGAGTGATATGGTTTCCCCTGAGCCTCCTCTTCTCCAGACTGAACAATCCCAGCTCCCTCAGCTGCTCCCCGTAAGATTTGTGCTCCAGAGCTTTCACAACTCGGTTGCCCTTTTCTCGACACAGAGCTTCAGTGTCTTCTTTGTAGTGAGGGGTCCAAACCTGAAAGCAGTAGTCAAGGTGCAGCCTCATCTTGAGCTGAGTTTAGGGGGTGGTAACTTCCCAAGTCCTGCTGGTCACTGACGCAGAGATCTGCATGCCAAACCCAAACCCACTAAACTACCAGGGAACCTACTCCTTATTTAATCTCCCAGCAATGTAGCACAGGAAAAATTCTGTACTTAAATGCATTTTTTAAGTGACATGTTGTGCCACCTGACTTTAGATGATAGCGTACCTTCTGATCTAAGTAGCTGGAATTCCATGCAGCGCCTTGGGAAATGTCCTGAATGAGGCACTTCCTAAATGAGCCCATTAGCAGAGCTTGTACAAGCCTTTTTTGGATTTAAATATTTTTGACTACACTGGATATGCCTCCAGGCAGAATCCCTATCTCAGTGTCATTCTCATGTTCAAAGCACAAGACTCAAGACAGGTGTCAGTCAAAGACTGAGATTTTTTACTA